GGTATTAAAATCCAAGTAATCATGGTTCCTCTGTATCTTGACTAACATGATTTTCTCTAATCAATATGTGAGTAATAAACACAGCATACCCAAGCCTAGTATTTTCATTCCCCAAACATTCATTGAACACTGACAAATTATCAGTCACAGTTGCTAAATTACACTTTAGACTGTAAGTGGTTGATGATGGCAGCATCAGTAGTACTCCCAAGAGTTCAGCTATCTCATTAGATCATTATCCCCTGGTTGCATAATGGTTAAGGGTGCTGCTACTAACCAAAAGGTTCAGCAGTTCGAATCTACCAGCCGCTCCTTGAAAATCCTATGGGACAGTTCTACTCTGTCCTATAGGGTCGCTACGATTTGGAATCAACTCAATAGCAATAACTTTGGTTGTTCTTTTTTTGGCTGGCTAATTTATTGAGAGTTTGCAATGTGCACAACCATGTAGTAAGGTAATTATACGGATTATTACATTTTAACTTCACACTTACCCACACCCAACTCTTATTCTGTTTTAGAGATGAGTAAACTAAAGCTAGAGAGAAAGTGTAATGATCCTAAAGTCATATGGCTATTCATGGGGGAGCCAAGATTTGATGTCAGGACATCCGACTGCAGGGTCTGTGCTCTTGACTTCTAGCCTATACTACCTATATCAGTATCTGGGCAGAGTGATAATGTACATACTTCATACTTTCACCCCACCCCCAGTATACAAAAGCTGGAATAGAAGGAATAAGATAATCAGACATTTAGACAATGCTAAAAGATTCAGAATAGGCCCACAGTTATGAAAAATCCAAAGGACAAAATAGTATACATTCTATCTTAGCTGCCTGTTCTAGAGGTTAATGTGTTCTTCCTTAGGTCTGCTTGTCTGGTGATACTTCCAAATTCTGTGCTGGAACCACTATTAGCTTTTAAGCTTTCTCTGTGCTTCAAAATCTTGAGAGTTCTAGGTGGCATTTTGTAGTGTGAAGAGAGTTCATCATGGAGACAGAAAACATAGGTTTAAGACCGATTTTACTCTTTATTAATTTAATGCCTCTAAATTTCATGCTTCTCATCCATTTAATGAAGCTAACTCCTTCCCTGCATACCTCACTTGATTACTGAGAAAACATGTGTCACACTGCTTTGCTGAAATTAAAGTCCTTTATGTGACCATTATTATCACTATTAGAATATAATTATGTAGGTTGATGAGGTAGTTTAG